AACACAAAACAATCCACTGGACCACCCTCCACTGCACTCCACTACACTGATCACTGCACTGCACTGCGCTACATTACAATACAACGCAGTGCAGTACAACACAGTACCATACCATACAATATAATGCAACACACTACAATGCGTTGCAGTGCATTGCTTTGCGATGCAATGCCGGACAACGCAAGACAACGCAGCAAAACACGATACGATACCACCACACATACACATATACATACACATACACATACACATACACATACACATAAAGCAAACATATACAATGTTGTATACGCATGTGTATGAAAATATACACGCACACACATACATACATAGACATACATACGTACATACATACGTACCTATATACATACATACATACATACATACATACATACCTACCTACCTACATACCTACATACCTACATACCTACATACATACATACATACATACATACACACACACACATACATACATGTATGACACCTGTGTGTTTGTTTGTATATATAGATGTGTGAGTGTATACATATGGGTCAATAAACACATGAACAAATGAAAGAATAAATAACCAAGCCAACATATGAGTGGATGTGTCTGTATCTACATACATACATACATATATATATATATATCTGTGTGTGTGTGCGTGTGTGTGCGTGTAGGTAAGTAAGCAAGTAAGCAAGCAGGCAAGGAAGGAAGGAAGTGAGTAAGTAAGTAAGTCAGTGAGTGAGTGAGTGAGTGAGTGTGTGAGGGTGCAAACAAGCACGCGAATAACAAAGTATGTATGTACGTACGTATGTATGTATGCGGGTGAACATATATATATATATATGTCTGTGTGTGTGGGCATATGTACATATTAATGTATTTATCTATTTATGTATTTATTTACAAAAAAGCACATTAGGCTATCACTGCTAAACTAAGCTAGTCCTGCTATGGGGAAGCTCGCCATGCAGTTCTCGGAACATGGGCCAGGAAAAACGCTTCTAAACACCGAGAGCGCAAAACCCTGAACCCCGAAAGCCCGAAATCCTGAAAGCCCCCAAAACCCTTAACTTCAAGCCCCTTCGAAGGCCCGTGAACCCTAAACGAAGGGCCCCCGGCTTCCCTCTGCCTCGGGCTGCCGTGGCTCGAAGCTCCCGGTCACCCGGATCTCCTGGTAGATTTCAACCCCGCAGCCATGAACACACGAGCCCCTGAAGCAAAGCCCGACCTAAGCCATGAAACTTTTGAAACCCTCAAAACCCCTAAGACCCCTTAACCGTCAAACCATCCACAACCCCACAAACCCAGCTTAAACACCTCTGCAACCTTAGCCCCGAAAACTCCCACAAAAAAGAAAAAAAACACTCTAAACCCTAGGCCCCAAGCCCCCCAAAAAACAAGACAGACAGATCTTGGGAGCCCGGCCCCTCGAAGCGAAGCCACGAGCTCGGCCGCTGCTGCAGCTTGCGCCGGGGTCTGCGGGGCTCTGGGCGCTTCGGGGGCCCAGGGAGTTTAGAAGTTAGGGCTTAGGACCTACAGGGCTACCAGCGGTTCAGGAGGTATCCAGGGAGTTCAGAAGTTAGGGCTTAGGATTTCAGGAGGTAGAGGGTTATGGGGGTTTGTAGGTCTTCGGGTTTGAGGTTTTAGTGTTATAGGAGTCTGGGGTTATGGGGTTATGGGGTTACATGGCTTAGGGTTTAGGATGGTAAACAACCATAATAATGGTACTAGGAACAAATCAGAGATTCTTTCACAATCCACTTGTATAATTAATGTGTATATATATATATATAACATGTGATATGTAATATACCATTTATACCAACACAATATGACAACATGGTGTACAAGATAGCACATCTAACTTAGAATATACCATTTTGACCATATAACCGATGCTGTGAATACCTAATAACCTAATACCTACTACCTAACATATCATATACTGTCCACTTCGGATATGGTCATTCTCCAAACTCTCTTTCGGTGACTCTTGCTATCCGCGTTGCCAGTCGTACCCTGAGCTACTTAAATGATCAGCTGACCTGGTAAGTAGGAATATGGAGTTACAGGTACCTTAGCGACTGTAGGGTACTAGTAGACAAACGACAATCTACATTACAGGTACCTTAGTTACGGGTATTTGTAAACAAACAAAAGGCCTGAGGCCCTAGTCACTGAGTCCCCCCATGTGCCTGCGAAGTCGTAGCCTTCGGCGTCATACCCCCCGGGGGGAAGAAGCTGGCCGGAGACGCCGCCCGCCCTGGTGTCCTTCATGTGGGAGTTTCCGAAAATTAGGGTACCTTATTTTGGGGTCCTTATAATAAGGATCCTACTACTTAGGGTACTATACTAGGGTCCCCTCTTTTCCCCGATGTGGTGTCTAGGGTTACAGAGTAGAAGGCAGACCTTCGACGGAGTCTGAGCCCTTGCTGTTCGCAGGTCCAGCCGTAAGGGCCGCTAGCTTTGCGTAGAGGGCTGCAGCTTTTGCCTGGAACTTCTGGCGAAGTACACTCACAGTCTCATGACTTTGGAATCCCGGCTTTGGCTCCAAAACCCAGACCGTGCAGAAGAAGTCAGCCAGTCGAAAAAGGCATCACGTGCTCAGGGCAGCATAACTCCTCTCGTTGCTGATTGTTAGAACTATTCCCCATAGTCCCATCTTAGCCCTCTGTGTGTGTGTGTATATGTGCTCGCTTTGCTTTGTTGGTTTTTGCTGTTATGATTTTTCCCTCACCTTGTCATCGTTGCCACTTACCACTGCCATCACCGCTATCATCATTTTACTGGTGCGTTCTTGGACTTATGGGAGCTTCCTCCCCAACCACATATCCACCCCAGACCCTAAGCCCTAAAACCTGAAGAGCCCCAAAGACCGCACGAAGGCACTGAAAAGCCCCCAAATGGCCCCTGTGCCCGTCCTGTCAGGAGTTGGAGGGCGCGGCCCCAGCGGCACCGCGGCCGAGACCTTGCAACTGACGACCTGGCCCTGCAGCGATTTGTGGCTTTGAGGCTTTGGGCTTGGAGGATGAACTGAGTCTTATGCGTCTGTGCAGGGGTATATGCGGCTGTACATATACACATGCACACATGCATGCACATGCACGCATACAACATAAACAGGGCACAAATATAAATACAACAATACATGTGTATACTTTAAGTTTATGTACACACTCATCCGGGTGCAGGTTTCTCTGCATGATTGTACATTTTTGTTTGTACGCAGACTGCACGCACAGTTTGATCGACGGATACACAGACCAATGCTTTTCCAGAGCGATCTGTGGTGCGCAGCATGATCACCACTCCACCCTGAGTTCTCGAGAAATTGAGCATCTAGTTGCAGTGGCATTTATTTCTCTCTTCATCTGCACAGTGTTGGTTTAGAGAGGCTGAAGCCAAATTAAAGCATGTTGCGCGCTTTTCGGGATTCGGAATCGCACACTCGCTCAAGGCAGGCACGGATTCCAAACAAGTCCGAAACTAGAGCATCTCACTACTACAGTTTCGGATATAGGGACGGCGTTGAGCTCCAGATTTGTTGAAACCAGGGCCGGTCAACTGCGTTTAGCGGGCCTGAGAAAATGCATTCGGGCTTGGGTTCGGAGGTTCGGGAGCTCGATTTGGGTTCGGGACTGGGGCCAGGAACACCAGCAAAGCAGCAAGCCGAATTCTCCTTGTGCCTTTTCGTTCGTTTCCGGTTTGTCTAAGATGGTCCGGGCCGGAGCCATCCGAACTCTCCTTAAATCCCCAATGCTAGGATGGTCTCGAGGCTGCGCGACGCCGGCTTCAATAGGGCTTCGAATTCAACTTCAACAAGGCTTCCATGCTAGGCCGGCTTCCATCGGGCCCCCCGGGCCCCCCAGAGGGGAAGGAGCAGCCCCCAGCTTCCCAGAGCCGCGCGCCACCTATCCCGCCAGGCGCCTTCCTTTTCGGGGGAGAGGACCCCAACAGTTCCTGTCCGGTGAATAAAAGCTCGGAAAGTGTTGCTAGTGTTTGGGGTCACTTTTTATCTCTATTGTCATGTTTAGTTTGGACAAGATTACTAATAACACTAGTAGCAAGAATAATAACAATAACAACAATAAAAATAGTAGTAATAATAATAATACTAATAATAATAATCATAATAATAATCATAACAATAATAATAGGCTCGGCAGACAGTGAGGAAGGCCCGGAGTGCCACGCTCACAGAATCACAAGACAGGCAGCACTGCGACTGGGAAACAGCTAGGTGCGAGGGAGGGACACCCTAAACTCGAAACCACGCCTTGAAAGCCCCCCCCCAAGCCAGAACAGGTTGTTAATTTCAAAGGGTGGGCATGATTTCGGGAGGATTGGGTCCAAAGCGTGTTTATTGTTAGGGGGTGTTTAATGAACGGCGGGAAGCGATTAGCAGACGCGAAGACATCGCCAAAAGTTCGGAGTTTGCAGTCCCTACTATCAGAACTTCTCTGAAAACGCTTGAAGACTCATCGCACAACCGGAGCACCTCGCCATACCTTCCCGACGGAGTGGAAAATGCCGTCGGGGGCATCTGGAAGCCCAAGGGCGTGGCTCCACTGCAGTCCGTGGCAGCAAAGCCTCGGCACTTAGAGATCCCAAAATCCCTTAATTAGGGAAATATGCCTTAAGTCAGAGTGGGCTTGGTAGTATGATTTAAGGCATATATTCCTTAATTAAGGGGTATTGGGGGCAGGGGCATTGTCTTCTTGCGAGAGGCCTTGTTGCTTGCCTCTGCCGCTACATAGCTGTTCTTCGGGGCGTGGCCGCCCGGAATGAGATTCTGGTTTCAAAGCAACATCGAAAATGGATCGAACCTGGCTGCGCAATCACACATTCAGCTCTTGCTCCAATTGCTGGTAAGTTGCCATCGTTGGCCATGTAAACTTTCTGAAGAGGCAGCACCACACGGGTAGCTTGACGAGGCGCGTCCTCAGAAGCGGAGCTCGCATCGCAGCCGAAAACCAAGAGGCCCAAGAGTCGAGCTGTTTTTGCGCCAAGGCTCTCGATCACCGACTGGTGGCAGGCCGGACGATGCTTGGTCACCAGGGAAGGTTGGTGGCAGGCCGGAGTACTTCGCAGGTGGAGGAGCGACAGCACCAGAAGCCGAAGGAGCCGGTGGAGCTGGTGGAGCCGGAATCGCTTCCTCTACCTGTGTTGCACCATTATCATATAATATCATATAATATCATATACTATAATATAATATTATGTTATATTATATGGGCACGGCGATACTTGGCTGTGGACAAAAGACATCCGACAGGAGCATGCGCAAGATACCTGCCAACCCACGCTTGCTAGATCACCTTTGCAGGGGGACTGCTGCAGCCTTGCTTTCGCCAAGTGCTGCATAAGCCACCCATGTCTTAACGCGATCACGTCAAAGACGCAAAGTTGTTGGAGAAGCATCGGCTAGCACTCACACACCTCTTGCTGATCAAGAATCTAAACCTTCATCTGCTCAACTCAGACCAAGATGCGTAACGTGAGACATTTTCCGGAAGCGCCCTACTCTTCACGTCCAGGTCGTACAGACCGTCAGCAGTGATTCCCTTCACTATGGCAACGACCCGCTGGCGCAGTGTCTTGCTGTTGTAGAACCTCGACACCGCGAGGGTCCAAACACCCGAAGACCAGACCGGACAGGCAAGCTGTTAAAGCTAAGCAGGGCCAGGTGGCACTTTCTCGCCTATCTTGAACCTCTCAGGACCTGCAGGAGCACCACCAAGGGCAAACGTATGCATACTGGAGAGACCCTACGATCCCGTGATCGCCTGGGAGGGCAACCTCGTTGTTTTCCCTTCTGATCTCCGTGGCTGTGGCCAGCTTCTGCGGCTTGCCTGCCTCAGAGTCCTGACTCGCGAGCCATCTTAGTTGGGGACTGCACAGCCTGTAGTTGCCACTCAGCTCGCGAGCAAGACAAGCTACAGGCTGGAAGAAGAGTACGACTATGATCAGCGATCATGTTCGCAAACGAGGCTGGGCGGCGTAACAAAGGATTCCATCACCGCCACGGGTTTCGGGGGGCCACCTCTCCGCATTCTCCATGTACAAGGGCGAAGGAAGCTCGGTCAGAACCTTCGTGCAGGAAGCAATCAAAAAGGGCTGAATGGACATTGATGGCGTATACATACATACATACATACATACATACATACATACATACATATACACAACATACATGCCTTGACATACCTGTTCTGTTCTGTTCTGTTCTCCGGAGCATAAGGGGCGTCTCAAGCCTCCCGCGCCGAAAGGCGCACCCCTGTTCATTCCCTCGAAGGAAAGCATGCTGCTAAAAGGACACTTTTTCTCTCTCTCTCTCTCTCTGCTTCGGCTCCATGACACAGGGGGCAGCCAACATGGTTTCACATATACCGACACGAAACGTGGCAACATGCAACCCGGCATACCGTTTTTGAAGTTTAACACATTACAGTACGATCATGCCACAAGCAGTATGTAATACTGCACGCAATAGTAGATTTTGCAGTATATACGAGTGGTAGGATGAAACAACATGAAATCAACATGATATCACCGTGTATCACAGCATTGTATCTAGTACAACATGTTATAGCCGAATGGAACAACAGAACTGAGTGGAGTTGCATGGTAAAGGACATGCCGTATTGATGACACTCAATGTTCACCTACAGACACACACACACA